ATTTTCAGCACAGCACAATAAAGTACTTGCAGAGACAACAGAAAGCAAGCAATTTGTGGATTAATTTCTCTTAAAAGTGAACACTGTGGCTCTATAGGGCATTTTAGAAAGAAATTAACGTTGTATTTTATAGTACCTATGATGTGACTAAGAGTCTTTCTTGTCTTTAGGAAGCAGTACAGCATGTATCGTGGTATTAGACAGGCAGAGTCACCAGCTACACACCGCAAATCTGGGAGACTCTGGCTTTCTGGTGGTTCGAGGTGGAGAGGTGGTCCACAGGTCTGATGAACAGCAGCACTACTTCAACACCCCTTTCCAGCTCTCTATCGCCCCTCCTGAGGCAGAGGGCTCCGTCCTCAGTGACAGGTGAGACCGTTTGCTCTTATGTGACTTTTTTTTCCCCCTCGCTTTCTGATTATGTAACAGCATCGTGTCCCCAAGCTAAACTCGAGCGAGACGTAATCCGCTGGCTGTCAGTATGAGAGCATGATTAGGTTCTCACTCTGGTTACTAACTCGACTGGATTATCAGTCGATTAGTCACTCGGTGTGTTACGATCAGGATATGTAATGATCTCTTTGCTCTTATTTCAGATCAGAATGGCTTAAACCGTCAGAAGAAAAATTTGATAACTGTGCACTGTTAATCTACCCTAAAAACTGATAGAATTTTAAGCTGCAATTTATTGGCTTAATCACGTTTAGCCAATAACTACTCTACGACCTCAATATTATTTAAAACATTGATTTATTTTCTAGCTTTTTAAGATGTCATGCTAGTGTTCTTTTAATTAATTGATCATTAATAGTATATTCAGGGGTTGAATCATGCTTTTGATTTGATTGCAATGTTGACTGATTGCTGAAACCATAAAAAAAACAAGTGCCACATTTTAGTGCCACACTTTCCATGATTGCAAAGAGTATGTGACTAAATCCAGCCTGTGGTTTTCACTTTAACACATTTTCTGCAACTTAACATTAACTGATCCTATAATTTGTAACTTGTAATCCTGTATCCTTTTAACCTGTAACATGAAATGCAAAGATGTGATTTGAATTTGATTTTAAATTCTCTCACATATGTGATTTTGTGATGCAGCTAGGCTGGATCTTCAACGGCATTAAGTACTGCTGGTTTTGTAACAAGTGTATCACATAATTCTATGATAAATTTAAAAGACAATTATAGTCACTCTTCAGATTGCCTAATGTGAAATGTTCCTATTATTATAGATAATCTGACTATGATTTTTGTGCAATTAAATGTTATATTTATTTATCCAATTCGTTTATTGAATATCTGTCTGTAACCTTATTGAAGGGTTGTGCTAGGGCTGCATGATTTGAGGAAAAAAAGACCAAATGTGATTCATTTTTTATTTATTAATCATTAATCATTATTATTTAATTATTCATTATTTATTAATTGTTATATATTACTAAATAAAAATAAGCATTTCTAAATAACTAAATGAAAATTGTAATATTTCACTGTAAAATCTCATATTTAAAAAAAATGCATTATATTGTTTTAAATATTAGATTATTTTACAGTGAAATATTACAATAGTAATTGCTTTTCGTTGCATAAATAGTTGCTTTTAGTGTCTTCATTTTCAAATGTTAAACAATCAAACTTTTATTTCGACTGAAAACCGCAGGGAGTCTTTAAGGATTCTCTTTTGTTTATAAGCATTTCTATTTACAAGTCTGGAAAGATGGTTATTGCATGTTACAGCAACCCAAACTCAGAGCAGATGCAGAGATGGAGTCTGTGTGGAGCAGCATTTACTGTGAACTGAGCTGCTCTGAGATGCTGAAAAGAACTACGGATAATGAGCTGCTCAGGCATAAATGAACACAATGCCGCGCTTTACTCTGAAACACGCAGTGCATATATTTATTTAAATTGCAACCTTTGTGATTTGATAATCAGACTAAGCAATTCCGGATTTATTTTGAAGAATCCTGCAGCCCTAAGTTGTGCATTCACTAAACATTGCCAAGCAACACGTCTGGTAAACGGAACCCTAAATAAGGAAACTACAGTGACTTTATCACACTTAAGCGGAATTGTTGAGCTTTCTGCTCTGAGCTACATCCGGTCACTTTTAATCTTGCTAATGGAGACAACCTTAGCATGGCCTGGTTTCTCTTTGACAGACAGATGAGCTAGTTGGAAGAAGTACTTCTTCAGATTGTGGGTCTAAAACTCAAGCCGTTCCAATTTAGATTATTTTATTTTATCTTAAGTTTTTATTCAAAATAAGTATCAAGTTTAAAACGCGTGACCTGGGACTGGCCGGCCGGTCTGGCACAGACGGAGGGAAAGTCAGCCAGTGTATTCGTAGAGTCAGTGTACATAGCGTCTGCCGCAGACTTCCTGGAACAGGAACATGACACTTCACAGCTGATCTGTATGTTTCCGTGTGCTTTATACTGTAATGAGGATCAAACTATAAGCTTCTTAGACTGAAACAGCTTTTATTGCTCCCAACTTGTGATCCTAAATATGGTCTGCAAACAGTAGTGCTTGATAGCTTTTTAGAGCTCTAAACACATTTCAACTTGAAAATGTGCAGTTATGGAGTCGGTTTTGATGGATCATTCTGTACCTGAGATTGAGAGTCTCAAATGTTTTGTTTTCACATATGTCCAACGTAAAACCGAAATATCACATAACTAAACTATCGAAAGTTTACTTGAACAACTTTGTTCTCTCGTTTCCCACAGCCCTGAGGCTGCCGATAGCTCGTCCTTCGATGTCCAGTTGGGTGACATCATACTCACAGCTACAGATGGTCTCTTTGACAACATGCCAGACTACATGATTTTACAAGAACTCAAAAAGCTCAAGGTACCGGAACATCTACGAGCAAGTCTTCCTTCTGTCCACTTTTCTGTCCTCCAGCAGCACTAATATGAATTGTGTCCTCTGCTTTCAGAATACCAACTATGAAAGCATCCAGCAAACAGCCAAGAGTATTGCAGAACAGGCCCATGTTCTAGCATACGACCCCAATTACATGTCTCCATTTGCACAGTTTGCCTGCGATAATGGCTTGAATGTCAGAGGTGAGATATATATATATATATATATAACCTTTTGAACAAGCATCAACTACTGCTTTTCCTGATTTACTTTTTCTTTACAGTTTTTCTGGGAGATAATGGTCTTGCTGATAGTCATCATTGGCACTAAGAGTGTACGCATTTACTCTGACAACAGAATGATTACAATTCTTTGCTAAATCATGCAGTGCATTTACATTCACGCATTTGACATGCATTTATATTGCATTGAAAGTATGCAATTTTTTAGATCAATGCACATGGGATTGTAGATGTTGAGTAAATCTGTAGTCTTGACAACATTCCCTCTCTCTTTTTTCTCCCCAAAGGAGGAAAACCAGATGACATCACTGTTCTGCTGTCAATTGTAGCAGAGTACACAGACTAACGCTCGCAAGGGCAGCAAAATGCTTCTCTTGTTGTCTTCCTCTCAGTCATTGGACTGGCGGCTGTTTCCTGCTGGCAGGAGTGAGGGCTGTTTGAGTTTTCTGTTTCTGGCAGGGACTTGGAGCCCACATCTGTTCCTTGGGTTCTTCGACCTTACTAGACCGTACTTCAAATGATGTTGTCTGCAGACTCAAGTCAAAGGCCACCTTGATACGGACTGCTAACGTCGAGTTGTGTTTGACAAGGGCTACAACAGGTGTTGAACACTTCTCCAGTAAGAATCACAAGTGTTTCTGTCGTCCAGACATGAATGAGTAGTTGGTAATGATGTGGTTGTGATGCCAAAAATGGAGAAAGAATGAGCGAGAAAGGAATAACAATCTGATTAGGTCCCAAAAGAAAGAACGTCTCCGTATCAAGAAGAACATTAAGATGGAAGTGTCATGCAGTGGGAGTGTTTAACTTTGCAAAAGGCCAATGGGAGATGCCCTCATGTTACATAAGTCTTGAGATGGCACGTTTTGCCTGTTTACTTTCCATTTAAAAAGACACCTGATCTGTATCCTCTGGACAGACATCTGCCGAATGCCAGCTGAGATGTGATGTTATTAGGCACGAGTGACTACAACAAACTCTTCACTAGCTAATGGAGAGTTTGTATTTTGGAAAGTAAGCAGAGGTGTAACTTTACAGTACTAGACTGATTATGAAGCTTAACAACATCGAAATACTGTCAAAGTTAATGATCAACCATAGAAATGCCTTTCCTTTGAGATATTAATTAATGAAGACGCTTTTGCAGAACAAGTTCTCATTATATGAAATAAGAGTCAGATGGGTGTTTTAAGCGATTCAAAGTACAGGACAAATTAGTTTGCATGGGGAGACGGTAACCTTTTCCTTTCATATTTATTAATTTAAATCAGTATTACTCCACCCTTTTGAGTTTTTAACGTAATGACAGCAGTACGACAGACTGCAAGGGATTGTGGGATGTGTTGAGAGGAAAAGCAGTCCCACTTAAACCACTTTTAAGAGGTTCACATGCTTGTGGTGTGCATATGTGTATGTGAGAAAAGAACGTTTACGATATGTAGATATTTGGAAAATTGGCTGTATATTTATCTATGACATGTATGCATTTGCAAAGTGTAGGCTATTACACATCAGATGTATATGAGAGTATATTTGATAATTGTGTGGATTCTGTTAAAAGTATTTTTCTTCCTTTTTTTTTTATGTAAAACTTAATTTTAAAATATCCCTGGAGGCGTTTACGCACAAAGCTAATGCTAGCATCTGTGAATGCTTTCGGTGGGTATGTCATGGATCACATGATCTAATAAAGTTATATTTTTATAACTTCTGTAGATCACGGTTTTTCTCAGTAAATTAGTGTTTCTCTGTTTTAGAGTAAATATTTAACTGAAGTGTCTAAATTATGCTCTGTGATAATGTCACAGATGCTGTCAATAGTTGTATTTAATGTGAAATATTAATATTTAATCATCTTAAAAATATTAATTAATAGTTCCTATTTGCACAGTTTGCCTGCGATAATGGCTTGAATGTCAGAGGTGAGATATATATATATATATATAACCTTTTGAACAAGCATCAACTACTGCTTTTCCTGATTTACTTTTTCTTTACAGTTTTTCTGGGAGATAATGGTCTTGCTGATAGTCATCATTGGCACTAAGAGTGTACGCATTTACTCTGACAACAGAATGATTACAATTCTTTGCTAAATCATGCAGTGCATTTACATTCACGCATTTGACATGCATTTATATTGCATTGAAAGTATGCAATTTTTTAGATCAATGCACATGGGATTGTAGATGTTGAGTAAATCTGTAGTCTTGACAACATTCCCTCTCTCTTTTTTCTCCCCAAAGGAGGAAAACCAGATGACATCACTGTTCTGCTGTCAATTGTAGCAGAGTACACAGACTAACGCTCGCAAGGGCAGCAAAATGCTTCTCTTGTTGTCTTCCTCTCAGTCATTGGACTGGCGGCTGTTTCCTGCTGGCAGGAGTGAGGGCTGTTTGAGTTTTCTGTTTCTGGCAGGGACTTGGAGCCCACATCTGTTCCTTGGGTTCTTCGACCTTACTAGACCGTACTTCAAATGATGTTGTCTGCAGACTCAAGTCAAAGGCCACCTTGATACGGACTGCTAACGTCGAGTTGTGTTTGACAAGGGCTACAACAGGTGTTGAACACTTCTCCAGTAAGAATCACAAGTGTTTCTGTCGTCCAGACATGAATGAGTAGTTGGTAATGATGTGGTTGTGATGCCAAAAATGGAGAAAGAATGAGCGAGAAAGGAATAACAATCTGATTGGGTCCCAAAAGAAAGAACGTCTCCGTATCAAGAAGAACATTAAGATGGAAGTGTCATGCAGTGGGAGTGTTTAACTTTGCAAAAGGCCAATGGGAGATGCCCTCATGTTACATAAGTCTTGAGATGGCACGTTTTGCCTGTTTACTTTCCATTTAAAAAGACACCTGATCTGTATCCTCTGGACAGACATCTGCCGAATGCCAGCTGAGATGTGATGTTATTAGGCACGAGTGACTACAACAAACTCTTCACTAGCTAATGGAGAGTTTGTATTTTGGAAAGTAAGCAGAGGTGTAACTTTACAGTACTAGACTGATTATGAAGCTTAACAACATCGAAATACTGTCAAAGTTAATGATCAACCATAGAAATGCCTTTCCTTTGAGATATTAATTAATGAAGACGCTTTTGCAGAACAAGTTCTCATTATATGAAATAAGAGTCAGATGGGTGTTTTAAGCGATTCAAAGTACAGGACAAATTAGTTTGCATGGGGAGACGGTAACCTTTTCCTTTCATATTTATTAATTTAAATCAGTATTACTCCACCCTTTTGAGTTTTTAACGTAATGACAGCAGTACGACAGACTGCAAGGGATTGTGGGATGTGTTGAGAGGAAAAGCAGTCCCACTTAAACCACTTTTAAGAGGTTCACATGCTTGTGGTGTGCATATGTGTATGTGAGAAAAGAACGTTTACGATATGTAGATATTTGGAAAATTGGCTGTATATTTATCTATGACATGTATGCATTTGCAAAGTGTAGGCTATTACACATCAGATGTATATGAGAGTATATTTGATAATTGTGTGGATTCTGTTAAAAGTATTTTTCTTCCTTTTTTTTTTATGTAAAACTTAATTTTAAAATATCCCTGGAGGCGTTTACGCACAAAGCTAATGCTAGCATCTGTGAATGCTTTCGGTGGGTATGTCATGGATCACATGATCTAATAAAGTTATATTTTTATAACTTCTGTAGATCACGGTTTTTCTCAGTAAATTAGTGTTTCTCTGTTTTAGAGTAAATATTTAACTGAAGTGTCTAAATTATGCTCTGTGATAATGTCACAGATGCTGTCAATAGTTGTATTTAATGTGAAATATTAATATTTAATCATCTTAAAAATATTAATTAATAGTTCCTATATAGTATACATTAAATCTTGTGGTTTCTCTCCAATTTTACAAATACTTTTGTAATTGTAACAGAGCTGGCTGCTTTTTTTTTGTCCTTTAAAAATAGCTTTTGCAGTTTACTTAAAGGCTCTGCTGTGTGACAAATTAATTTTTAAAAGAGCAAATGCTGCATGTAATCTCTCAATATGATTAATAAAAGAGGCATGTATAATAATAATTATACAAGAATAGTCCTAGATGAAGTATAGCATGTTACACTACAGGAGACGAGAGTGATGTCTACCCACACAAACACTTTTGCTGGTTTCAGCTACCTAGCTATTCTAATCACACAGCCCATTTGTATCCTGATTACACCATCGGATGAATCTTCATGGCCACCTGCTTTTCTCTACATCTAGTTCTATAGTGATTTCTGGCCATCCAAGATGTAGATGAGTTTGTTTCTTCATCAGATTTGGAGAAATGTAGCATTCCATCACTTGCTCATCAATGGATGCTCTGCAGTGAATGGGTGCCGTCAGAATGAGAGCCCAAACAGCTGATAAAAACATCACAATAATCCACACCACTCCAGTCCATTAGTTAATACCTTGTACAGCGAAATGCTGCATGAAATCAGAAAAAAATCCATCATTAAGATGTTTTTAACTTCAAACTGTCACTTCCTGCTAAAATTCAAGTCCTCTATCCATAATATTGCTTTTTCCAGAGAAAAAGCCGTCATGTCTGATTCAAGAGAGAAATCTGCACAGATCAAGCACCGTTTACAAGGCAAAAATGGTCCAAAACAGTTCTAAGTATGTCTGTGGATTTTAATGTGAGAAGACAACTGGAAATTGACTTTTTCACTCGAGGAAGCATTATGAATGGCCAGAAGTGACAGTTTAAAGTTAAAATGCCTTAATGATGGATTTGTTTTCCAAGTGATGGAATGCTAAAATTCTCCAAATCTGTTCTGATGAAGAAACCCATCTACATCTTGGATGGCCTGAGGATGAGAACATTTTCAGCAAATAATTTTCGAATGAACTATTCCTTTAAAGCAGATGTGTTTAATTAAGTCATCTATATATGAACCATTGGTACATTGTTCTCCTGAAGATAAATAATTGACAAAATGACACACTTCAGCTTTAAGGCTTCCATTTCTTTGCATTTTTATATGCATCAAGCCTGTATACATTTTATTGTGTAACTGCAACAGTTTGTGGTTTTCCTACATTTTATGCTCAACTGAGGTGTCAATTGTTACAAAGGGCATGACAGCCTGAAATACTGCGCACATTACCATCACCGGTAAGTGGCTGGAGACTAAATTTGTTTGTCAGCAGTCAACAAAACCAGCAGTAATGGTTGTGACCCCGATATCATGAGCATGAACTAATACAATAGCAATTGACTGAACCATCACATTAAAAGCTCAAATGACAAAATGCCTCTAAAAGGCGAGTGAAATTAAATTATTCTGTTTTGCACGGCTGTCCAGCTCAGCTCTGACACAATCTGTATTATCAAGCTTCTAACGGACATATTTTTTCAATTCAACAGTCATGCGAAACACAAGGCTTTCTCTGGATAATGCGGCAAGGTATGTGTACAATAGCAGTAATTGCTGCAGTCTTGCATAACGATCGCTTCTCGGGCAGCATTTTAAAGCAGTGAGTTAAAGCTTCCTCGGTGGACACAGAACACGGAGTCCTTCAGTCCTCAAGAATGTTTGTTTTGAAGTTTTGATTTATCTTCTCCACGGTGACCGAACTCATCTGAACTGTGTGTTTAGGATGACATTCCTCAGCTATGCAACAGAGAGTGATTGTGCCCCACTTTACTATTGCCCTAGAGTTTTCCTTTCCTCTCTCCAAGAACAGTTTTACATTTACATTTAGTAATTTAGCAGACGCTTTTATCCAATGAGGACAATAAAAGCAGTCAAAACTAACAAAAGAGCAACAATATATAAGTGCAAATGACAAGTCTCGGTTAGCCTAACGCAGTACACGTAGCAAGGTGTATATATATATATATATATATATATATATATATATATATATATTATTATACACACACACACAAAGAAAAACAAGTAGAATAGAAAAAATAGAAAGCTAGTTTTTGTTTTTTGTTTTTAAATAAAGAATTAAAAAAAGATAAATATAGATAAAGTAGAATTAAAATAGAATAAAAAGTGTTAGAGTTAGAGGGTCAAATAAAGGTGGAACAGATGTGTTTTTAGTCGTTTCTTGAAGATGGGTAAGGACTCAGCTGCTCGGATTGATTTGGGCAGGTCATTCCACCAGGAGGGAACAGTTAGGTTGGATGAGTTGGAGTGGCTAGTAAAGGAATTTTTTTTTTTGGTCACTACTTGCTTTTATACTGTCATTTGTGTAACTTCACAGTTTTTAATATTTTGCTATAATTTTACTTCTGCATTAGAATTTGGGCTATTAACCTGATATGCAGTTTACGGTTTGTCTGATGGAAGACACTAACCTTAAAAGTGGCAGGTGTTACTGGTGTAGTCAAGGCCGATTCAGGTGCCAGACTGGGGTTCTCTCCAGGTGCGTGAAGCTGAATCATCTTCCTCATATGAAGGGCTGGATTAAAAACCTCACTGCTCTGACTGGAAGCCACCTGTTCCCCATCAGCGACGCACACCTCTGCCTCCATAGGGCCTTCACACGTGGAGATTTCTGCTGTGGAGGTCTTGGGGATGTTGACAGGACAGTCATCCCTAAAAAAACACAGACTGTTAATTGTTGTTGAATCTGATTGAATCATTTAAACATGCCCATTGTTTTGGGTTCTTTTTCATTTTTCTAAACAAACTGCATTAGACTCTCTGCTGCCCCCACCAGCTCTGGAGCATGAGGTTTATTTATTTTTTTATTATGCAAGGACTTTACTGAAATGTAGGATGTTAACAAACATAATTGGCCTGGTATAATATTGAAAATGTCTTAGCCAAACAACAGACAAGCACCAAAAAACAAGACAAAGAAAATAAGGAATAAGAAACAAAAAAAACATTGGTGGGGGGAATAAAAAATGTTTTTTTGCAAGTTAAGTTAAGGCATTCTTCTTCATTAATTTCAACGATAAGAAATAATGATGTAGTTCCTAGTGATTATGTAGAAATTTGGTAAAGTTTTCAGCAAATCAATTTTTATGTCATAAGATTTTTCCAAGGATAATAATTATTATAATATATAGTACTATATAAAATAGTATTATTATTTATATATAGTATTCTAATTATTTTTCATATTTTTAATTATATAATAAAAAAATTATATAATATACATTTTTTACATTTCGGAAATAATCAGTTAATGCAAATCCTCCTGAAGCATGAGGTTTACTGAGGTTTTAGGTAAACTCAACTAAAGTTTGTTCATTTTTATTAACTTAGCTGAACTACAAGACATACCCCTGATGAAAGGGGCGACACTCGTTATGTAGAATAAAAATTATTTGCATACTAAAACACTGAAATGGCTGAAGTCTTCATCTTATGTGAGTGTACAGCTAAACATCTAAAACATGCTGTTTATTTTTAATAGCTGTAAAACCTTTTTACTGTATGTGTGCCTGTAAGCAAAGAGTTTGCACCAAAGCCTGAGTGATGTGAGTGCTATGGGTAACGAAACGCGTGCAGGCATGTGTGAGGGACAGCAAAGGCAACAGAAAGACGCGACGAATCACATGGTGACAGTGGGAGAGGGAAAGATGAATGCATGCCTCTGAATATGTGAATTGCACCCCAGGGGGGCGGGCTATACTATGTTCGGATTTGGCCTTGTACCGAACTGCGGCCCACGGGACAAATGCTCCTCTGCACGCGACAGCAAAGAAACAAAAACAACTGTTTCGACTTACCTAGGATCTGTTCATCTACTCCACTATGAGGGAATTTGGGCACTCTTTAGTAAAATGATCTCATTTACTCTTTCTCTTTGCTGTCTGCATCCATTCAAATATGTATGCTATTTTTTATGTAATTTTTTTTTTAAAAGCTTGTTTTTGGTTCCTCTTCTTATGTTAATCCATTGTGTGTCTCCTCATTTGTAAGTTTTATAATTATATTTATATATATATACAGTATTTATTATATATATATATTCAATTTGTTACATAACATTTGTATATTTTAATTTTTACATAGAATTATAGATTTTATATTTTTATATTACTTTTATATTTACATTTTAATTTATATTATTTAAATATTTTATAATTTTTGTTTTTATAATTATAATTTAGCAATTTTACTTATTATATTTATCATAATAATTATAATAACATAATTTACAACATAAACATTTTATATGTATTTATCATTTTTATATACATTAAAATATATAATATAATATAATTATTATATAAAAATAAAAAATTCAAATAATTAACCATCATTTTCAGCCAAACAAGAATCAACATAAACGGCCTTGTTGTTGGATGATAGACTTTGTCTTTACACTAAACTGCTTTGCTGACTTCTATGCAAATAAACCCTTTGCCCTTTTAAAATCAGAGATTAAAAAAAAAAAATCAAGAGTTGTAGAATAACACACAGAAACACTGATACAAGGGCAAACAGCAAGAGGAGGTGGGCCAACTTCAGTGACATCACTGCCTGGACTGGATGAGCTACAGTGAGAATTAGAGACAGGCTAGCATGTCACAGTTCTGTGTTACCCTATATAGGTAAGACATGAAAGACTAGAGCACTAAAGCCGTCACTGAACTCAACACCCTCTTGGTGCCTATGAAAGGGGCTTTATGTCACAGTGGTTTTGCTTTTGCATTGCACCTATAATCTGACATTATAGAAAAG